AAACAAAAAAAAACCAAAAAAAAAAAACCACATGTCTCGACCCATTCTCCCCCTCTAACTATCGTTCTATATCCCTGCTCCCTTTTTCCTCAAAGCGTCTTGAAAGACTAGTCTTCACCCGTCTGACCTGCTTCCTCAACTCCTACTCTCTCCTCTTCAGTCCGGCTTCCGCCCCCTCCACTCTACTGAGACTGCCCTTATCAAAGTCACTAATGATATCCATATCCTTCTGCTTTGGGTGTCTAAGACCTCCAGATTTGTGTGTTCATGACCCAAAGATTTGTGTTCCAAGATTTCACCCAGCTATTTGTGCAGTCCCCCCCCCCCCAGCTTTCTAGATCACCCAGCTTTTTGCGCATGTAACCCAACAGCTTTGTGTGCCTGTGTTTCCCAGATTTCTGTGTCCCCATCTCTGCCCCTCATATTTCTATATTCCAAAAGTGTTTTCTGTCTCCACTAGTTTATTCTACACCCAGGCTTTTCTTCCCTCCAGCCTTTTCTCTTCCTCATCTTTTGTCTCCCCTAGCTTTCTATGTCTTCTAGTTTAGTGTACCCACGTCCCTCACTTTTCTCTGTCTCCACAGCCTTCTGTCTAGCTTTTTGTTTTCCTAAGTGTCCCCCAACTTAATCAGCCCCTAATATTCTGTGTTTCTAAGTATTCGGTCTCCTCAGTGTCTTGTGTTCTACAACTTTCACTATCCCCCAGGTTTCTGTAACTCTCAGCCTTTACGGTCTTCCAGCTTTTATAGTCCAGCTTTAATCCAGTTTTCTGTGTTCCCATCGTTTCTGTCTTCTTCAGGTTTCTAGGTTCACCAACTGTCTCCTCTCAGTCTCCTAGCCTGCTGTCTCCCTTAGTCTGCTATTACTTGAAGCTTTGCCCCTCTCTCCCCCCCCCTCATTTGTTTCCCAATGCATTTTTTTTCTCCTCCAGCTTGCTATGCCTCTCAGCTTTGTGTGTCCCTCAGTGTTTTGGCCTCTCTTAACTCAGTCCAATCACTACCCATCCAGGGTTATCTTCCCATACCATCATTTTACCTTTTAGAACCTGTGGGTGTTGTTGCATGCAGTCCAACCAACCCCAGTCTCATCACATCAGTGCATCAGCAGAAAGCATGCCTCCCAACATTTCAAATGGGACACTTTAATTTTAGGGGTGCAAATGGGGTGTGTGGCCAGGGACATGGCTGTTCTGAAAAATTATAGGAGACGAATAAAAAAACTTATGTAACTAAAATGTCATTTAGATCAAGAAAAAGTTACCTTATTTACATGGACTGATTTCCATACAGATTTATTGTAGTTTAAAGCATACCTCCCCACCGCCCTGATTCCGACGGGACATACCCAATTTTCAGGTCCTGTCTGTAATGGCTTACCTTGGTTGGGAGTCTGTAGCGCAGATATATGCTCACCCTCGCAATTAAACACAGGCCACGGTGGTCAGGGAAGAACTCACCTGGCCTGTGAGTCTGTGCACTGGGGCTGTGCAGGAGGATGCTCCAAGTCACAGTACAGATACGGACATAAACAGGAGAATCGTTGTGGGTAAGCCAAAGGTCAGTGGGTGCCAGAAATCAGGATAAACCAGTAGAGAGTCGAGGTCAGAGAATGCCAGAAGTCAGGATATACGGAGTAACAAGCCAAGGTCAGGAATCAACAGGAGCACACTGGAACACAAACAGCAATACGGAACCAGAGTCAATGAACTGACACTGACCTCAGGGAGAGGCAGTGTCTTATACCCTGCTAATTGGGCCATCAGCTTCAGGTGTGCTGAGAATATTGAAGCAGCCACAGATAATGTCCAGCCCCTAGTGCTGGATACAAGGCAAGATCGGTCTAGAAGCTATACTTGAGCTGTAAGGTAGCTCAGAGGAGAAACAACAGGCCCAGGACTGCAGAGTACTCAGGTTCAAATTCTCTATTGGGCATTTCTGGGGCGATCGTGTCTGGATGTTGTGGTGAGAGCTGTGACACTGTCCCCATGTCATGCCTTAGTTTCCTGCTTTTGGAGACACAAAGGAACTGTCCATAACAAACATAGCCTGAGGACATCATAAAAC